AATCAAGAAAGCAAATGACGTAGTCCATTGAGCAGATCTGCTGCAAAAGGCCTCTTGAGAGTTTTAAAGAGTAAAATGTAACTTTGAGGTCTAAGGTGTACTTGATCGAAGCCATGGTATTCTCAATTACCTCATATTCATGTGGAAACTGCACAGTGGATAGTGAAGTCCAGAGAAGAATTGATGAATTTGAATTAAGTTGTTCATGAAGAATACTGAAAGTACTATGGACCACCAGAAGAACAAATAAATCTATCTTGGAAGAGGTACAGCCAGACTGTCCCTTAAGATGTGGGGAAGGCAAGACTTCATCTCATGTACTTTGGATATGTTATCTTGAGGGACCTATCCCTGGAAAATGACATCATGCTTGGTAAAGTAAAAAGTCCGCGAAAAAGAGGAAGACCCTCAAGAAGATGGATTGACGCAGTGGCGGCCACAACTATTATGAAGATGGCACACGGTCCAGCAATGTTTCTTTGTATTGTTGTTGTTGATAAGTGCCGTCAAGTCGATTCCAACCCATAACGACCCTGTATATGGTTTCCAAGAAACAGCTGGTAAGCTTGAACCGTCAACCTTGCAGTTCAAGCAACTTTGCAGTCTGACACATTAGCCCACAGAGCCACACCAGGACTCCTTCATTTTTATTGTGTGTGTGTGTGTGGGGGGTGAGTTTCAATCTGAGCTGACTCAATAGCACATAACAACAACAATTACCATGGCCATTTGCACTTATAGGGGCTGCTAACCCAAGGTGTAGTGCTGAGGGCTAATGCATCAGACTACAACATTGTTTGAACTGCAAGGTTGGTGGTTCAAGCTCACCAGTGGCTCCTTGGAAACCCTATACAGGGTCGCTATGGGTCGGAACTGACTCAACAGCACACAACAACAAAAACACAAGGTGGGCAGTGCAAACCCATTAATTAGCTGCTCTGAGGGAGAAAGTCGAGGCTGTCTGTTACAAAGATTTAGTCTCGGAAATCCTATGCGGCCAGTTCTGCTCTGTCTTACGAGTAGGAATCAGCTCTGTGGCAGTGGGGTTTGGTTTGGTTTTGGGTATACCTGGGATATTCTGCCCAAGTCGTACTTGTGTTGCACAACCCATTCCAGATTGCTTCACAGTGATGACTCTCCTTTGATGATTAACCTTTGCTGTCCATGGGTACATACTATTCCTGCCTTTATAATTGTGTGCCTCCTGGGGGTCATGTCCCAGAACATACATGTGACTTATCTACTGCAATGACAGATGAGGAGCCTTGCTGGCATAATGGGTAAGCACTCAGCTGCTAACTGAGAAGTGGGTGGTTCCAACCCAACAGCATCTCTAATGGAATAAAAGACCTGGCAATCTGCTTCTATTAAGATTGTTGTTGTTGTTGTTGTGAAGTGCCATTGAGTCGGTTCTGACCCGTAGGGTTTCCGGGGAGCAGCTGGTGAGCTTGAACTGCTGACCTTGCAGTTCATATGGCTTTGCAGTGTGGCGCATTAACCCACAGCGCCACACCAGGCCCTGTGGGACCATTGTACTGTGCTCTATAGGGCCCTTAAGAGTTGGAATGAACTCAAGGGGACACACCAACAATGGTTTAGATCGTTAATAAATGCTTGTTGATTAAATAGATCTATTTCGCTTTTGCTTCTTTTTAAAAGGAAAATTCAGTTACAAGGTTGCATCACCTCCATCACTCTTCGAGGTGAAGGACACCAGTTTTTTGTCGGAACAGAAGAATCACACATTTATCGAGTCAACTTCACAGATTTCAAAGAGACGCTCATTTCTACTTGCCACTCTGAAGCTGTCCAGGATATTGTCTTTCCATTGTAAGTAGAAGAAAATATCTTTTCATCCCTTAAAACAATAAGATTGTGGACATTTGATGCATTGTGACACTGTAGGATAAGCACTGGACTACTAAGCCCAAGGTTGGCAGTTCAGATCCAATAGCCGCTTCTCAGTGGCCCTACATAAATTCACTGTGAATTGGAACCAACTAAACAGCACTAAACAATAAAGGAATTTAATATGACCAACTTACTTTCAGCATCTATTAATATGATTACAATTTTTTCCATGAATTTTACTAATGTCATGAATTATTTTTATACACTTTCTATTCCCTTCATTGTGGTGTTTTCCCAATTTAAATTTGAACTTCTATAGAATTTTGCCTTTTCTTATAAACCCATCATGTAAAACAAATAGGCAGGCAAACCATTTCCTAAGTGTTGTCTGGAATTAATTTAGTGGTACCTTCTTGCAAGCCTTTTTCAAGTTCTTTTTGTACATCATCCAGAA